TATTATTTATTTCTTTTTCAGTTACTGGTAGTAGCGCAAAAGAATTTTTGTGAATATTTCTGACCGGAGGTGGTGAGTTGGGGTCATCTATTTTATTTGCAAGTGATGTGCCTATTTCTGAAAAAAATTTATTAAATCTTTCTGCTATATCTTTTGCGTCTGTAATATTTTTCCCTTCATCTGTAGTTATTTCACGTATTTCTCTATTACTTCTACTATCTCCTTGTATTTGTTTTAAAGTGTCCCATAACCTTTTCGAACTAGTTTTATTTTCATTTATTTGTTTGGTGTAAAAATCTTTTTTAACTTGTTTAATTAATTTATCTGTAAGTGTTCTATAATTTAAATATTGCATTTTTTTTTCAACGTCATCAAAATTCTTTTTATGAATACTGTATAAAAGGTTTCTTTGTTTTATTGACTTTATAATTCCTTCTGTTATCCATTGTTTTCTTTTTTTATGGTGGTCTTTCTGTTTTATTAATTTTGTATTGTTTTCTAAAAGTAAATTTAGAGTTTCTGTTAAGTACTTAACTTTTTCATTTACATTTTCTATAGAGTAATAAGTTTCCCAATTTTGATTACCTAATTCTAGTTTCAGTTTATCGTAATTAATTTTTTTAACAAATGACGTTTTTGGACACACATCAACTTTTAGAGGAAAATATGCAATAGTAGCTTTATGGTCTGTTATTTGTGTATCAAAAATTGCCGCCGTATAATTGTCTAAGGTAGGTGCATTGTAACTATAAAAAATGTGATCTAAACAACTTTTTGAGGGTCCCTTTTCTCGTGTATATTTATTTATCAGAGATACAAAATTAAATTCTCCTAGCGTATCTAAATAGGAGGAGACTAAATCAGTATTTTGTTTTATATTTATATTAATGTCTCCTACAAAGATATGTTTATGATTTTTTAGGTTGTTTTTTGTTTCTTCCAGATATGTCCAAAGGTTATCAACAAATTCTTCCTCCTTGATGGGTGGTGGTTTGTAAAGTGATGTTATAACAAGTTTATTTTTATTTTCTAAATGAATTATTGATCTTATTGCTTTACACTGTCCTATTTGGATTATATCAGAGTTAATTATTAAGTTTTTTTTTACAAATATTACCACTCCATCATTACGATTTATATCTCCCTCATTATATATTATATTGTAATCTGTTAGCTGAAATGTATTTAAGTCTGGTATTTTTAGTGTTTCTGTTAAAACAATAAAATCGAAATCATGATTTAACCGTGATAGAAATATTTTCAACTCATCTAAATTCTTATTAATGCTACATATATTCTGATGGAATAATTTAAACATACAAGTTTTAACATTTTTATAATAATTATTTATTTCATCTACACTTTTAAATTCTACGGTATCATAAGATTCATAATTTACGTCTCGAATATACGGGTCCATTTTTGTTTACCAATTTATCGTTGTTTTTTTTTATGTATTATCTTACTTTAATACTTTTCTAACAATCAATTGTGTTTTAAGATTAATTTGAATAAAATCAATAAACACTTAATTATAATTAATAAACTCTAAAATAGAATGAATAACCGCTAAAACAGAATGCTATGCTATGTATGAATTGATTTCATATGTTACTGATGAAATGAATACTGGTAACATAGCTATAGCTATATTTCTAGATCTAGCAAAAGCATTTGACATGGTGCCACATCAGAAGCTGTTAAATGTTCTTGAACAGAATGGAGTGAGGGGCATTGTGTTGAAGGTTTTTGAAAATTATTTGACACACAGACAACAGAAGGTAAAGGTCAGAGACAATGTGAGTAACCCTGACAATATACAAATCGGGGTGCCTCAAGGAACTGTTCTGGGACCTATACTATTTAATTTATACATTAAGAGCTTAACTCAGATTGATATTCAAGGCAAAGTTGTATCATATGCTGCTGATACAGTGCTAGTCTTCAGTGATAAAGATTGGGAAGCCGTCAAGACAAGTGCTATAGCTGGAATGGAACATGTCAAAAACTGGCTGGATGTTTTTAAATTGTTTTTGAATGTTAACAAAACAAACTACATTGCTTTTTCAAAAACAGTGGCTGATCGACCTCAATTTAGAAGCTTAACATGTCAAAATTTAGACATACAGGAAACAGAAACATCCAAATATTTAGGTATAATTATAGACCAGCACTTAAAATGGGACTGCCATATAATATATATAGCAAAAAACTTAGATTGCTGATTTATAAATTTTATCTTCTAAAACAATTTCTCAACCAGGATCTATTAATAACATTATACTACAGTCTAGTAGAATCTATACTACAGTATGGAATCTTAGTATGGGGAGGCCTGTATGGAACTATATTAAAATCAGTTAAATGTTATTCAAAACAAAATCTTGAAGTTAATATATAAAAGAGATAGATTGTGTCCCACCATAACTTTATATAATGAAAAAATTAGCAATGTTAGATGTTTATATATTCACGCAATGTGTTGTTATATACAAAAAAATGAATTTTTAATAAACCCTTTAAAACATAGACATAACACTAGAACTGCATCGAACATGTGCATTAAAGTACCAAAACCAAATAGTGAGTTTTTTAAAAACAGTGTAAATTATCTAGGGACAAAGTTCTATAACGCTCTACCTCTTCATGTAAAATTATTAAACAAATATAAAAAATTCTCTAAAGTTAGCAAAATATACATTTTCCAAAATAATGCAAAGTTTATCAGAATATTCCAAGAATAACGGACTTAATACATGGATATTTTTTAAATAGTTTTTTTTCTGTTTCTTGCATAAATTGTTCAAGCTTTAGTTTATATTTAAAAAAAAAACTGTTTTTTTTATTTCCTTTATAATTCATTAAATATACCTAATTAAAATAAAATTTTAATTTTTGTCAGCACATACAGGTGTTCTCACCTAGGTGCTTGTTATTATATAATTGGTTTCCATTATTGTACTTTATTGTAACTTATTTATTATTGTAACTCATTGTAACTTATAACTTGGATGTGATGGAGCTTGCTGCCATCTATTGATACTGTCCATTGTCCTCCAAGATAATTTGCATTGGCATTGTTCTACTAGGTTATCTAAATACAATGATACAACTTTAAAACGCTGATTTATGTAAACTCTTGAAATGAATAAAAACAAGTAATTCATTCCCCAAGGCACATTGGTTAAGCCAATAATTCTTTATAATTTTTATAAACGACATTTCAAACACTTGTGAAACATCAGATAAAGCTGTTTTTTATGCAGATGATGCCAATATGATAACTGTCTGAGAAATGTATCAGTTCCCTAGTAGAAAATGGAAATAACGTCACAATGGAATTTGAGGGATATTGTGAGGAAAATAGCCTTCAGCTAAATTACGAGAAAACCTTATATATGAGGTTTCTACCTAAAAATATTAATCCTGACGAAGATTTGCTAACAATAGAAAGTACACAATCAATTAAATTTCTAGGTGTAACTCTTGATCCTAAGCTAACGTGGGAGCTTCATATCAATAAGCTATGCTCAAAACTGAGTAGCACCTGCTTTATTTTGAGAAATGTTAGGGATAAAGTTTCCATTAACATCTTGCAATTATATTTTGGACTGGTACAATCTCAGTTACAGTATGGCTTGTTGGTGTGGGCTTCCTCCTCAAATATAGATAGAGCATTTATCATGCAGAAGAAAATTGTAAAATGTATGGTTAGAGCTCATCCATTAGCAAGCAGCCGAAATCTATTTAAGAAATATGAAATTCTAACAGTGCACTCTTTATATATTTTACAGTTAATAATGTATATCTATGATAATAAGAACCAGTTTGCCTTAAACAATGAAATTCACTCATATAATACCAGCCATAATGATGACATTCGTGCACCCTTCTCAAGACCAAGAGTGAGTCAGAATTCTCCCAATTATATAGGGGTTAAATGTTTCAATAAAATGAAAACGCTTATTGACTTAGTCGGCCCAAGGAACAGCATAAACAATAAAATTATTAACTTCCCCTACAATAACACATTTTACAATATTGATGAGTTCCTCAATTCTTGAACTACACATTGAAGGTATCATAATCTGTTAACCAGGTCATTTTCTAAATTTTAAAATGTATGTTTCTTTTAATATTATAAGTAGTCTTATGTATATAATTAAGTGTTTACTATTTTTTAAGATAATTGTTTTTAACAATTTTAATATTGTTTTAAACTTGACTAGCCTGAGAAGTGGCTTTCACTATGTAAATGTCCTTTTATGGTGAATAAACTGATTTGATTTAAAATGATTAAAAAGAAAATAACAATTCTAAGTAAAAACCAAATGACAAATTTAAATTATTAAACAAGTAAATACCACTAATTACTTCAACAGAAAAATATACATAAATAGATAAATACTGAGTGTTGTAATTAATAATTTAGAATAAACTTAAGGGTGTAAAATTACTCTCCCTACTTATTTTAAGCTGAAAGACAAAAAGACACCTTGTTTATTTAGCAAGATCCAAGAAAAATATGCAGAACAAATCTTTAAATTAAGGTGCACCTAGCAAGTAAGTGCATTTGTAATCCAAACATAATTTTTGTTCTGTTTTATATAGATTGATTCATAATAACTGTGGTAGTATGTATAACTTAGGTAAAAGAGTAATTACAATTTACTATTTAGAGAATTAATCTTGGCAAAGTTAAAGGTCACGATGGTCATGATATTTTTAGAAGTATATAAACAATTTCGTCGCATTTCTCAATAACCATTAACAAAGACTTCAAGCTGTGACAATAAATTAACAATAAACTGATAATACAAAATCGGTAATTTTAATTCATGCAGTCCAATAGAACTCATAAAATAATAATTGCTGTAGTAACTAAAAATGTAACATAAAGTCTGCATATTATTTTCAAAATGAATACTATTAAAATAAAAAAATAGTCGTAGTTGTATAATAAAAATAAAAAAATTCTATCGTTGATAAAGTAAGCTTACCAAAAAGTGCACAAGACACTAAGAAGATATACATCTTCATCTTGATAACACACTATTTATTGAATTGTGCTTTTAAATATTTGTAACCACTTGAAATTCTGAAAAATATATACACGCAGTTTTCTCACAGCGAATACAAAACAAACTATAACACGAATTTCGATTTTCAATGGATGATGATTGACGTATGACGTATTAGCGATTGACTGACGGATGACGTCTGACTTGATTATGGAGTGTAGAGGTGGGATTTTCATCTATCGTAATGTTGTCACGTACCGAGACCCGAGATGCTATAGCAGGGGCAGAAGTTGGAAAGGCTTTTCGCAGTTCTCCTACTTCATACACAGAATTGACAGTTTTGCTGCGAAGCTAACCGAAGTGGACGCGATACTTTGACGTACAAAATTATTTTATAGATATGAATAAAAATAATAAAAATTTGTGGTAAATAGTTTAATAAATTGTGAATAGCTGTTGAAATTTTGTAGAATTATGATTTGGGATATTATAATAGGTCTGTTCTGGTTTTGAGAAATAACGATCCACAACTGTCGGGCGTTCCCAAATTGTTTATTTATATGTGGACGAATGTCTCTTCTTGTTTTGTTTGTAAATTAAAGCAATTTTAGAATTATTAATTTTTTAATATTATTCTGTTTTTATTTATTCCATTGAAATGTGATGATAATGTTAAACATATACATGCAAATGTTATTTGAAGCTGAGCTTTCAAAAGGAAAGTCATTATTATAATAAACAATAAACAAAACACCTTTATGTTGTGCCTTTATGTGTTCTGGTTTTCCAACAATTTCAAACAGTCGGGGATTTTTTGCCTTTACGCATACGGTCCGGCGCAGTTCCAAAACAGTTTTCATTTTGAGAACCAGAAGAACCCTAATAATACTTGTTTAATAATTATTTCTAATCCAGTGATTTCTTTTAAATAGGAACGGCTGTGGTAATTCGTCCCGATATAACGTTCTACATTTAGAAACGCTTTTTAGAGTCAAGACAACGTCTGAACGCGTTTACTTTACATTACACATCTGATGCATTTTTTACATCTCGAGCGTTTGTTTATCCACATCGGACCACTGAACTATTGCCGCGTTTGAGAATCCACATCGGATGCATCTGAGATGTAATAAATCTTTGATCACGTGATTCAGTATACGTAAATGTAATGGGACAGATGTGTCCGATGTGGATAAAAAAACGCTCGAGATGTAAAAAATGCATCCGATGTGGATTTTCAAACGCGGCATATATATTAAATTGGAAGAACAAAGCCGGTCAACAAAATCAAGCCGCATAGCGAGGTGATATTTGACACTTTGGCGCCCACATGTGCGTATCGAAATGCTTTAAAAAGGATCATCAAAATTAAATTTAACACTTATTACATTCAACTATGACACCATTTAATTTAAGAAAATCACTTAAAAATGATTTTTAATTAATACGCAGCTGAAACAAATAATAATTATTAAAATAGCGCATTATTAATAAAAAATAATATAATTTGTCGTATTACGCCCGTGGGAAACGTGACGAAGATGCTCAAAATTGACAGTCTGGCGTCCAAATTGTCATGCGCACCGACCGTTTTTTTCACCCTTGTCGGCTTATGTTTTATGATGTTATATTGTAAAGAAATTTTAAACAGGTGAATATAGATTTTGATTAACACGTTGACGGACACATGTGAACAGGTGGAGATGCTTTTTGTGACACTATTGCAACTTCACTAAATTTTGCAATATTATAGTAACACTTATTTGACTTCTAAAAAAGCTGAATAATATAAAAAAAAACAATAACGGCTATAGACGTCACTGTCACATACTAGACATTTTTCTATACATTTGTAACGTAGACGTCGGTATAAATAAAACACTAGAATTACGCAAATGTATTTTTTATTTGAAAACTAATGAAAATATCGAATAATAGCTAACGCCATACCACGTGCTGCATTCTGATTACTGACTGAAATACTAAATGCCAGAGGCCCGCAGAGGCGCCCCGCATAAACCATTATGACCAGGGTTGCCAACCGGTCTTTACCGATTTACTCTCAAAAACTTTTCCGGATTACTCACAATTACTCACAACTTCAAAATATTATTACTAGTTTTTTTTTATATAAATCTTATATTTTGTACTCTTGCACTTTGGTTTGAATTTATTTTACTACTGTGCAATGTTGCCAAACATTAAAAGATAAATTTTCAGAACATACAAGAGTCAAAACAGATGCACCTTTTTTCTGTGCATTCACTATTTTAATAACAAAGTAATATACAGGTTGATTCATAACTATTGGGACATAGACTAAGGCAAGTTATTTGGACAAAAATATGGCGATAGGACCAAATATACCTTAATAAAATATTGCTGTGGAATTTTTTTTTTATGATGTCACTGTATATTTATGAATTGATATCAAAATTGGCACAAAGACATATTTTTCGACAAGGAATAATATTTTATGTATTCATATTTTGTTACAGGAGGCGCCACGTGAATGAATCCTGATGATGAAATTAAGTGGTAACTTTTTTTACGAAACTTTTTAGTATTTTTGATTAGAAAATTTCACCCGTTTTCGAGAAAAACGCAATTGAACAACTCACAAAATATTTCATTTATGAAAAGTTTGCTTTGCAGTGTCAAATAATTTGCTGTTAGATTATAGTTTATTATTATTACTATTATTATTATTTAACGCCCTGTATCTTATTCCACAGCAATATTTTATTAAGGTATATTTGGCCCTATCGCCATATTTTGATATAAATGACCTGCACTTAGCCTATGTCCCAATAGTTATGAATCACCCTGTATATAAAAAATCTTTATCATCAGCTGAACAAAAAAACAGATAAAAAGGATTGGAGAATCAGAGTAGCTTCTTTATTAACGGACCAAATCATAATAAATCATTAATTCTAATACTTAAAAAAAATCTACTAATAAAAAAATATACTTTTAAAATGAACAAAAAAAAGATATTAATCGACGGTTGGGACAGTCCCAATGGGACTATCACTATCGAAACGACACCTAGTGTTGTAAAATATCAAAATTACTTTTACTCTATTACATTGACCAAGCAATAGAGGACGTTGCAATTTTAAAACTATAAAATTGTAATGACTGCTAAAAGTGCTAGGGGGGTAAAATAAGGCTTACATTAAAATTTTTAAAAAGAACACGCTTTTAATAAATTATCCGATCAGGATTTTGCCTAACTACCATGAATATACGCACGCTGACTTCCCGATTACTCACAATTGCCCTTTACTCACAAAATTACTCACAGACTAGTAAATGACTCACAAATGTGAGGAATTACTCACAGATTGGCAACCCTGATTATGACGCCATGTTCTAGCTATCCCCACCTCTCACGTCAAATACACAGAGTCAAATTAGTGTGCTTGATATGACACTTTACCGATTTACGATTCAAATCCGACGTCTGTAGAAGTTGTTGCCGAGCTATGGAGGTATTATAAAAGACGTCCACAGACGTCCTTAAATTAAGTTGTCACGGAGCGCAGATTGTCAATAACGTCTATAGACGTCGTTGTCCGTCAACGGTTTAAATAAATAAACAACTTCTGCAAAATAACTTTACGTCCTGTCAAATTTACTCAAATTAACCCAGTCCGGTAAAAAAGAGTGTACCCTAGACTAATTTGACTCGACTTTCTGAGCGAGAGTAGCTAAATGTCCAAATTGAACGCTTGACTGTTCTTTAATGAACCAAGACTAAATTTATCACGCCCTTTTTATTTAAGCATGTTTCTTGAACGCGCTCTAATGGTCATCAGCGTTAGTGTTAATATCATGACATTTAACGATAACACTTATTTTTGTTTGGATCTTATTCTAAATAAGGTAAAAAATAAGGTTACCGTATTCCTAAAGTAACAAGTGGCGATAACTCTCTCTCTCTCTCTCTCTCTCTCTCTCTCTCTCTCTCTCTCTCTCTCTCTCTCTCCGGCAAAAAAGAAAGAAATATAAGAGAAAAAACGTCTAACTTTTTTAAACGTCTGTGGTAGGTAGTTACTATGGTAGTTACCAATATCCGTTCTATTCCAACTGAGCGATTCCATCTCTACATGATCACTACTAAAATTCACAAAATCATAACAAAAAACATAACCTATATTTGAATTTTAATGTCAAAATAATAAAGAATCGCATATATTTTTACTTTATTTTTAAATGTTGGGATATTATTTTACATTTCGTTATAGTTTCAGAAAAATTACACATTTTAGCCAATTTTCCAACTCAACAAATGTTGTAAATAGTCAAATTCTATCAGATTTATTTGGTAATGATTTAATAAAGTACTACAAGAACATAGAATTTATTCATTTTAATTTTAGGCATTAGTTGTAACGAAGCAAATTTATATGTGGATAAACATAAATTACAACACAAAGATGGAGAATTACTAGCACAAAGTGTAGAATTATGTCGATCATTTGGTTACCAGAATATGGACATTTTAAATACACCTAATTTACTTACTGTTCACCCACTTGAATTAATACAACATTATAAAGCTTTACACGAAGGAGGATTTAATGATATAACACCACATGTTTTAGCCAAGTGAGACAATTTCATAATATTTTTATGTTCAGTAAAAAGTTAGACCTTTGCTGAAATTGGACAGTTATATGTTCTTAAAGACCAATAATTTAAAAGCTGTTACAACAGCTATAGAAAACAATTATCCTATTTAATGTATGGACATTCCACTTAGTTATAACAAAATATTGACCTATTTTATTTACAATCTTTTTTTATAACTAGAAAATATTGTATTTGAGGTTATAATATGCTCCTTTCTGAACGTTAAAGGAGAGGAAGATGTTTTCAATTTGGGAAATGAAGATATTGACATTAAACTGAATAGGTTTAGAAATAAAATTATAACATATCACCTCTCTTTGCAACCATTGCAACTAAAATGCAATTATTGTACTGAAAAACTAATGTTTTAGGGCCAGAACTTACATGAGGCGGTTAATTATACAGTTAAAAGCCAAAAATTTGATTCCATATTCAACAAATGTACCAGAAATGTTAATATCTTATATTGAAGACAAAAATATAGCAGAAAGGGTCAGAAAAAATTATCGAAATAAGAAAATATGGAACGATATCCATTTGGAAGTTCTAAAGAATTTTTTAAGTAGGTACAATCAATAATATCGTCGATTTTTTCATGTAAAATTTACTTCATATGTTCAAATTTGACTGTGATATTAAATGATTAGTAAAATACCTAAATAATTTAAATATTTATTAGGACTATATTTTCATTTTTAGGAATAAGATTAAATGGAACTAAGGATGAGATAGACAATCTAATAAGGATTCACAAATTTGTAAGAAATAAAAGTTTTAGAGTAATTCAAGAAAATATCAAAGTAGCCCAGAGCTTAGGTTTTGAACCTAGAAAAATTATTAAATATGGATACTTACTTGCTAGCTGTCCAAGTTACGCGGAAACTACTCTTCGTGATTTGGGCAACATTGCTGGCATAGATATGAAACGAGCAATGCGATTATATCCTAAACTAATGATAACTCCTCCAAGAAATATAATTAAAACGTACGGGATATTGAAGGTATGTAGCTATTTGAAAATAAAGACATTTTAAGAAAATATTTTATATTACATATGGTAAGTTATGATAAATCTCTTTATTTCCATCAGATCAACTGATTGTAGTAGTCTCGGTAAGTATATATGTAACTTGAACTAAAACAAACTAAATATGATATAATGCAGCTTATTCCCACGACAAAGTATTTTTGTCGCCCCACGTTGGGCGCCAAAAATGTTTGGACTTGACATTTTTTTATCAATAAACTATTTTTACAGTTGTCTATTTATTATATTTTTCTGTCAGAAAATATAAACCATGACCATATTTTATTTTGAACGAATTATCTTATCAATAATATTGATTTTTTTGTAAAATTTCCAGCTAAAGGAAAAATGTATTGTTCCATTGAACAATTTTAGCAGTTGAACTTAAAGCTTTGTATGCAACTTGAACATAAAGGAACTTTTTGACCCCATTGTTATTAATCACGCTCTCTTGGCCATATTATTGTATTTTACTTGTTTTTTATTTTCAGCAATTTGATATTCCGGATGAGACTATTCGCCAACAACCAAACGTCTTTCACATGGCTCCTCAAACTGTGAGAGTTAGATTACAGGAAATCGAAAATTCTCCAGACTTAAAATTATTGCTCCAACATCCAAAAATTCTGGCATTGGTTGTACATCATAATAGAGCCAATGATAGGTTAAGCTTTTTACAACAGTCACAGATTCGTTGCGTGCCTTTAACTATTTTAAGTGAGTGTTTCATTCAACTACTTTTCAAGATATTTGTTGATCCTTAACAAATACACAAGTTTATGTATTTTGCGATTATGCTTTTTACAAGCCAGGGACTCAATCCAAAATGAAGATGTTAATCAATTTTTGCTGATTTGAAGATTTATTGTATACTAATTGTTGTGATTCATTTTTACGACAAAAAATATGATTATGGTTTTAAAAGGTTTGTTCCAACACAATAGCAAATCGGTTTGCGTACTGTCGGGATTCTGCGCAGTCTAGATTTGGTGTTCCAACAAACTTCGGACTCAAAACTTTACAAAAACCTAGTGTTCCAACACACCCAAACCTAATCACAAACCAGTTTCTGTACTGTCAAATCAGTTCCTGGGTGTGAATATGAACGAATTGTCAAGATATGCGCAAAACGAAAGTGAGCTCGTAAATAAACCACCACCAACTCTAAAAATCGAATAATTAAAATTTATAAATCTTTTCATGAGTTTTATAATTTTTTTTACTTCCCAATTCAAAATTTTACATTTGTTAAATTTATTTTTACTTTGAAGTTATTAACAGAGTGTGTCTGACAACATAAAAATGTGTTCCAACACATCCAAGTTCCGAATCGCGTCCCAATCCTCGACAGGTCGTCGACTATCAGTCGTCGACAATAAGTTGTGGACTGGTTTATGTATGGTCCCAAAATTGTTGTTGGAACAAACCTAAAGAATACGCCATAAAAGGGTGACAATTTTGGTTCCACTGACAGTTAATTCTAACCAAACTTTTAACAATATTTTTTGATCTATACGTTTTTATTTTTTTATCAAATATTGTTTTGTATGTAATTGGTTATTAAATGATTATATAATTGATGCATGTTATCTATTTATCCTAGAAATATATTTCTAAAAGTTTAGAAACAATATAATTTAGGTAAACAAAACGGACAAAAAAATACTGTCAGTTTAATTCTTAGTGGAACCAAAACTACGTCATCACTAATTTAGCATATTGTCTAACAAGCGTGTATAATTATTATTGACTATCAGTGGCAAAATGTTTTGCCAATACTTAGGACATGCTAAAATTCTTTTTTTTACTACTAACCTGAGAAATTGCTATTATTTACTCCATTCCCCTAACGAGAAGTAATATTTGAGGGGCCTAGTATCAAAACCGGCAATATCCCACTTTCATAGTTTAGAGATATTTACGAATAACTACTGCTGCCTTATTATTTATGCTAGATAGTTGGAGATTATTGAAAACGGTAGTTTACTCGATTCTGAACAATAACTAATAGTTCTGTTACTTAGAACTGACAAGGTTTTTCCAAAATATAATACAAAAATATGGAGATTGCCGGTTTTGTTCCTAGAGGTAGGACATTGCCGGTTTTGATACCGAAATGTATAAATAGACCCGAGAAAAAAGGCAATGAAAGACGAAGTGAGTGCTAAACTAAAACTGTATTTTTCTTTAGGTAACAACATAGTAGAAAATAATATCAAAAATTAAACCAATACAGATGGAATCTCTGCAATGAATTCGCAAGAGGGTTCATCATCAACAAGTTGATTAGCTTCTGTCTTGGGTTTCCTCCGACTCTTCAGGATTTTCTGTGTGGCTCTCCAACATTTCCTCGCTGGGAACGATATCATTATAAAACATCAGTTCATCTAGATCTCTCCACTTTTTGCCAAAGTGTTTGGTCAGCAATTTGTTCACGTCATTTAACTTCAGACTGTTGACCTGAGGCAGGCCGGCGTTGATTAGATCTGGTTTAATCATGCCAATTGGTTTTCCTTTTTTTGTGAATCCCTTAAAGGTTTGCAAGTCGCTCCTATAATGGACTTCACCTCTTATTAAAATATTTCCAGACTGGCATCTCTTCAGATAAAATCGTTTCGTATTTTTAAATTGGAAGTGCCATGATCCTGGGGGTTTCAGTACCTCTTTAACGCTTTTTTTCCAGTCGTAAACATTACAGTCTGTACCTAAATGAATGGGAGTCGCAATTTTTGAAAATATTTCAATGTAGGTGTCAGGTTTGGTTATTACTTCCAGTTTTTTAATGTTCTTTTCGATGTGACCAAACACCCTGTCTGCTGGAAGAAAGGAATGCCCCACTACGGGAAAGATGACTTCCAAATTCTTAATATTTAACGGGACATTATTTGCTAGCCATTTGGAGCACATCCCTATAAGAGTGCTATTCTTGTTTTGGCTGCTACATCCATCTGCCATAAGCCTAACCGTGGTATGGTGAGGGCCAAACTCAATTTTTTTCAGTCTGTCATATACAGCTGATGAAACCTCATTGGAACTTTTTGCGAACTCATTTTCGGTCCAGTAGTACGAAAAAACATTTTCTGGATTAAGCTTGGATTTTGATGTACCTTCTACAATCGTAAAGTTGTAGAGGTACAACTGCCTTGAATAATAGGCTGTTTGGTCTGGCACCTTTGGTAGAACTAAGTTCTTCTCGCAATCGAAAGATATGGTTACCATATCATCTCTAGCTTCTTTAAGTAGATTGAAAAAAGCATCTGCTCTCAGTTTGTGAATTTTTTTGTCTGTTGAAAGCTTTTTCTTTTCTTCTTCATCTTCGCAACGTTTGATTCTTTCAGCCAATTCAAGGCACGTGGAACACACGTCAGTTCGCGGTGTTGTGAAACTCAAATTATACTTTGTGTTGAAAATTGTTCGAAAATACGACAATTTTACTTTTTCTTCTGGACTGCACTGCTGATCATACATGGTGTGCATTTTTTGTATCGATAAATCTGAAGGAAGGTATTCGCTCCGTGCGCGACAGCAGCGCCAATTCGTTTTGATACTAATGGAGGATTTCGGCGTATACTGACAAATGCAACTTTTAATAGAATTCGTAATTAAAAAGTATACATGTTAGTTTTAATAAAAGTATATGGATTTGTAAAACAAGTAAAACATTAATTTATTATTATTATATATTTTTATCGCTTAAATTAAAGAAAATTATGTATAATTGATAAAAATCCATAATAAAATATAGGCAGGCAACAGTATTTACTGGAAAATGTATGAGAAGTTGCCTAAGTCTAATAAGTTTTCATTGAAGAATTAGTCTATTCTGTCAAAATACAAAAATACCATTTAATAATAGCGTGAAGTTAAAATGTATAAAAAAGGATCATTACTTATATATTCATTTTTGTTCGAAAGAAAACATAGAATGAATGATTAAAACTGATTTCCTATCAGTAAGTTACAAAATTGCTTTCCAACCACATATAATAATCAAAGGCAGAAATCTTGAAATCTAGTCCTTGCTGAATGAACATTTAAGAATAAGGGATATTAAAGAACATGGTAAAATGATAATCTATTGTTGATTTAAAACCTTTTAAGTTTCTGATGTCTACTATTTGCAGCATTACGGTTATTATTACAAAAATAAAGGTAATTTTCCTTCTTATTGTATATCTATCCATTCATTTCTTTGATTTAATTTCCACTTTGCTACTGAAATTTTTTATATAAGTTTCACTGTTTTTTTGCTAGTATTTGTACAATTTTCAACACAGTAACTCCGGTTGCTTATTGTATTGTTTTTACCTACTTTTTTTGAAAAAAAGTAAAATGTATACGTGTATTTGATATGCCAAAATTACAAAATATCGCCCTAAAATGCACGAATTATCCGCAGCTAGCGCTAGTATCGCTTTTGCTTCCCTTTCCATGACTTCGCACGGAGCGAATAGTCTTTTTGTACTGGAGCGGCAATAGTGTGATTCAATGCACTTGAAACTATTGATGAACTCTTGAACCGCCGCTTGTTTGTCTTCGTATTTAGGAGTTTTTCGATCTCCACCTCTTTTTTCTATTGGTGCTTGACCACTGGAAGTAAAACTCTTCATGACGTGGCTCACACGATGTTTTGTAATATCAAGTATGTTTAAAAAAGCCGACTGGCATACGGGAACGTCCGCTTTTGAGGAATAATTTCTCACAAAACATTTTACATGGGTAACTTTGGCTTCTCGTGTTGCATTTTTCGGACGGCGACGTTTGCACACATCAACAGAGCAATGCTTTAGAATGAACGAGTCTTGCAATAGCTTATTTTTTGTCGCATAAAATGCTTCATGAAAGTCTTTAACTTCCTTCATGGTTAACGAAGAACACTGAAAAGCCTTCGTTTTGTGACCACATGTTGGATATTGTGGCAACTGTTTTGCAGAATATCTGCAAAGACTAGACAATACAACTCTATTATCAGTATGAAAAGAAAGAAAATACCTGAGCTTCTTGCGAACATTACATTTCCATGTGACTGGATCACGTTTTCTTTTACGGGCTTTACCCGGCTCAGCAGGAGATGCATTCACTTCCATTAGGTTCTCAGGCAAAACTCAACAATCAACACAAGATTTAACAGGATGAACAACCACAATGGACTAAACGAAAGCAACAAACATAATAGGTATTTGCTATTTAAATGCTATTTCATGTGATCAGCTGATCACTTGTCGCGATTCTGATTGGGTGGTATGGAGTTTGCCGATTTTGATTCTGAAAGTCATATGGAGATTGCCGGTTTTGATTCTGATGAGTAGTTTCCAAACTAAATTTATATGGGATAAAACCGTTTTTGTTACCAACTAGAAACATATTCCAATAGTGCACAACGAGACGAAAAAACTGCTATATGCAACACATTTTACTGAAATTTGGAGATTGCCGGTTTTGATACTAGGCCCCTCATTTCTCACCCTAGGTAAATAATGAGAAAAATTCTATATTCTTAACGAAATTAACAGAAACACTTGTTAACGTAATTTTAACCAAAAGCACAAAAATATATATTAACTAGGAAATTCAACACCGGCAATAGGCTTCAAAAATTATTAATTAATACCAATAAATCCATGTCACTAAAATATCAAAAATGCAATGGGATATTTCCTAGAATCATATCAAAAATTGACACATGCCAAATTTTTACATAAATAAAGCCAATCTGATTAGAAACACGCTCCACTCTGCTTGATATTTCGAAATATTTATTAAATTGTTAGGAAATTACTTTTGTCAAAATTAAAATTACTAATATATTAATGTTAGTAGTAAAAAAAATTCTATACAGTGTGGAAAAGCCAAATGGAATAAATTCATTATTTCAATTACTGTACATATTTATAGAAAATCCCGAAACACGTCAAATTTAAATTATAAATTGACATTCTTTAAAGTGAAAATGTGATCCCTACCTTCAACCCCATTTGAGTAACAGTTACAACCTCTAATTGTTTAAATGGGAAGTATAGGCTTGTGATATATCGTTTGAAAGGTCTCTTCATTCTCTATCCAAAAATGTTATTGTTTTTAAATTTATTGCAAAAATTAACATAAAAAAAAATAAAATAACTGATAACCGAAATTTGTTACAATACACTCAATATGTAATATTTAATTGTTCATAACGTAAACAATATGAATGTCAATGAAGTAGATGTTCAAAATGCTCACCGCGAACGTCTTGGCAAAATCCTAATCTTGAATAAAAATGTATTCTAGCGTTAATTAACATATCAGGCGTGACCAATCTAATAGCAAGCATTATTAGTTATCTTAAGTCATCTAAATCACGCGGTTTAGTTTTGTAAACAATATTTTTCACATAGCCCCATAAAAAGTCTAATGGGGTAAGATCAGGTGATCTTGCTGGCCATTCTATTGATCCTCGCCTCCCTATCCAGCGATTTGGAAATGTTAAGTTGAGGTACTGGTGGACATTGATTTGGTAATATGGAGGTGCTCCATCTTGCTGGAACCATATGGTATTTGCTGGAACTTGAGGGTTTCCTGGATCAGGAAATAAATTTGCCAAACTTGGCATCACATCATTTTGTAGTAGTGCTAAATAATTATCGCCGTTCAAATTCCCCACAATTAAAAAGGGACCAATAATATGGTTTTCAACAATCCCTGCCCAAACATTAACCTTTTGAGGGTATTGTGTATGGACCTCTCTCATCCAGTGAGGATTTTCCGTTGACCAGTAGCGGCAATTTTGACGATTAGCATGACCGTTGATGGAAAAAGTGCACTCATCAGAAAACAACGTTTTCTTTTTGAATGGTATTGTTATTCAACATTTTCATCATTTGTTCGCAAAAATTTGTTCTCCTATCAAAATCGTCTTTCATGAATTCCTGAGTCGGTATCATTTTATAGGGATGCATTTTATTTTCATTTAATATGTTTAGTATCGATGTATGGCTGACATTAAATGTTGCAGATGCTTGTCTACTCGATGTATGTGGGTTTTCCTCAAACTCAAGCATCATATCTAATTTGATATCATCACTCAGTGCATTGTGTTTTTTTTTCATCTAATTTACATGTCCAAATTTGCGAAATTGCTTCTCTATTTTACTAATTGTACCTTGGGATATAGGCGGCAAATTCGGAAATTTTTCATGAAGTAGGCGAGCAACTTCCATTTGTGTTTGGGTGTTATCTCCGTAACCAATCATCTGTAAAACTGTTATTTTATGCATTTCTGTTAATCTAACCATTTTTATGAAATTCAAACGACAATTATAATATTGACAATATCCTGCAGTTATAATTATTACAAACCAATTTGCTAAGGCATTTTAAACAACTAACATTGCTATGATAGCTTTTTAAAGGATTTTTTTAAATTGATATTAAAAAAGAACACTGATATGGTTTTTGCTTAGGTACTGTCTTATTATAAAGTAGTGTAGGTACTCTAGAGAATTTCGGTAATAAGATGATTTTATTTTTTTTGTGTTAATTTTTGCAATAAATTTAAAAACAATAACATTTTTGGATAGAGAATGAAGAGACCCCTATATCACAAGCCTATACTTCCCATTTAAAAAATTAGGGGTTGTAACTGTTACTCAAAGGGGGTTGAAGGTAGGGATCACATTTTCCCTTTAAAGAATGTCAATTTATAAT